GTGCTGCTATAAACATAGGCACACATATATCCCTATGATATGATGTTTTCAGATCCTCTGGGAAAATTCCCCATAGAGGAATAGCTGGAATAACCAGATTCTTAAGTATATGTCATTTCTGAAGTATTAGAGTGGGCTCGGGATATAGCTTAGTGGCATATGTGCCTGCCTAGCAAGTCAGTGTCCCAAGTTCAATCCCTGGCACCGCCACCACCAAAAAAAAAAGAAGTGTCAGAAGAATCATAAAGCCTCAGAAATGAAGGTTAGGTAAGAAGTAACAAGTCATCATTTCCAAATAATCAAAGCCAAACCCAGATTTGTCCTGGAGAATTGTCAGCAGTCATGCCACAGTTCAGATCTATTGGTTTGCCAAAACTTAGTGAAAAATCGAGTGTAAATGTCCACAAGGGGCTGGTTCCTAGATGATTTTGACTTTATTCCATCTGATCTTAAAAAGAAAGAAGAAAAGCAAAAACTCAGCTGGTTGGTTGGTTCTCACTCAAAATTCTGAATCTAGTTCCCAGGCCAAAGGAGTGGTAAGAGTTGCCTGTTGCTGCCCTACTTCTCAGGAGAGCTGAAGAAAGTCTCAGGAAAGGCAGGCTGCTTCTCCTCCTGAACTCTTGGGGCTGAATTGCATCCCTCTTTCCATTTGCTGTGGTGTAGGGGTGGGGCCTCGTGTACTCACCAGTGAATGTGTGGCTGGTAAAGAATAGACAGTGTCAAGGCCTGCGGACCAATGCCCAGCAGGACTAATGCTAGTACTGCTTTAGGGATGCTCCTGGGAAATCAAGACCCAAAGAGAAGAAGGAGGAGGGTCACTTGCCAGAGCCTCGCAGCCATGATAAGCAGACATGCGTCGGAAGGCTTTGTCCCTGCTGTGCTGTGTGATGCGTCCCTGAGATACCTCTCATGCTAAATAATTCAGCTGGATTTGTTTCTAAGAAAGAGGATGTGTCTTCCCTCTGATGCTAAATGTATGTTATGGCCCACGTGGGACCATATCAATTCTACACTGTCTGACAGCAATGTTTGGCTTTACTGTGTAGAGAAACCAACATAAGAAATTAATAGCATTCCTTCTTTCTGCTGAAGGGAGGAAGTAGATACAAAGAAGGGTATTGGAAAGGGTTTAAGTAGAAAGGGTTAATTAGAAAGGGTTTTTAGCTAGCAGGTGCATGGCACAGTGTGTATGAGAGTATGTGTGTTTGTGGTTTTACGTTCCTGATCTTTCTGAGAGGGTTAGAGCTTCACAAAGACCAGGATTGCTGGTATTTTCTGAACTGTGTATGATACATGCAGTGAGGACAATTCTTATTTTCAGTATCTGGAGAAAGGAGCCAATATTAACCTAGTTTTTGTGACTATTATGAAATACCTGAGACTGGATAGTGTTATAAAGAAAAGAGGTTTATTTTGGTTCATGATTCTGGAGGTCCAAGGTCAAAGGAGACACACCTGGTGATGGCCTTCTTGGTGGCAGAGTCTTGAGGAGGCACTGGGCATCATATGGTAAGAGATGGGGCATTGGCACATTTGTGTCTTCTGATCTCCCCCACCTTTTTTT